CCAGCATATTAAATTACGCGAAATTCTAGGGTTTGAGGCTCTGGGGGGCAGAGGTGCATGTAGGGTTTGAGGCTGTTTATTTCTCAGCTTATTCTCTCTCACAAAACACTATTAAATCATCCGAAATCCACTGTGCAAGTGAACAGCCGAACACGCCCAAAACTTTGGCAGTAGTAAAATAAAGAGTAAATTGCACGGACGGTCCTTAAAATATTGGGCAAGTTTCATTTGGGTCCCCAAAGTACGAAATCACACGTTTGGCTCCTTAATATATTTAAGTGATCTCATCACGGTCCAAAATAGATACGAGGAGGGATAGAAGCTGACGCGGTTGTCCACGTGGTCAGCCACATACCCGTGGGATCAAGGCCTGCTCGTCTAGCCGGCCATAGCCACCGCCGGTAGTGACAGCCTCGCCGCTAGCCACGTCTGGCCACGGCGACCCCGACCCACATCGCGCAAAACCCCTCGCGACGCGCGAAGCGCTACCTCAACAGATCCGAGTACGCTGCGTCGCGTGCTTCGTCGCCGGTGGTGAAGTCGACCACCGCCTCGCGGTGCATGCTGCTGCTGCCGCGTTCACGCGTTCCGCCGCCGCTCACGCATCTTGCCCTACTTACCTCGCCGCTAGTCAGCGCTGTGAGCGCCACGCCCCTGCGCCGCTGCAAAAAGCCACTGCCGCCATCCTGTGTGCCGCGCCAGGCCGAGCCGATGAGGCAGCGCGCGTGCGCCCCTCGCCGAGGCATATTCCGCTCCGTTCGGTCGCTACGCGACGACCAACGGCCAACGGCGCCTGGCCCATCTGCACCCACGCTGGCACGCTCTCTTAGCTTGGCCGGCCTTGACCGAGCCAGAAACTCGTGGCCGCCGTCACCGCCATGGACGCCGGTAAACACCGCCACCTCCCCGTTTCCAAATTCGCGCAACTCGAGGCCTCCCGCTCCAATTCCTCGCACACATAGCTACACCCAATTATTGTGTAGCCCCTGGAAGTGACCCCATTGCAAACCATCCACTGCGAGTGACGAATTTTGGAATCTCACCGCTGCGGTCCGCCATGGCCGAGCGAGCTCTTGCTGCACCGCGTTCCACTGCCACCAAGCCTCCCCTCGCTCGACCACTTGCACCGTGAGGCAGGGTCAGCCACGGAGGCGCCGGATCACGTGGCCGCGCGTACGCGGAGGCGCTGGGGCAGCGCTCGTGTGTGTGGGGCGCCGGGACAGGGTGGGGCGGCGTCCGGACAGAGTAACAACAGAGGAGAGGTGGCCACGAGGCGAGGAGGTCGAGCGCGATGCGGGCCAAGGTCGCCACGGCCAGCGCGGCTGGTGGCGAGGCTGTTGCTGCCGGCAGCGGCCATGGCCTACTGGGCGAGTGCTCCTCGAGCCCACGGGTACGTGGCTAACCACGTGGACGACCACATCACCTTCTAACCTTCCTCGTGTTTATTTTGGACCTGGATGAAATCACTTAGATACATTGAGGAGTCAAACATGCGATTTCGTAGTTTGGAGACTTAGATAAAACATGTCTAATACTTTAAAGATCGGCCGTGCAATTTACTCTAAACCAAACAAAGGGTGAATGGCATTAAAGAGATGCCAAGTGTAGTAGTAGAGCGAGCACATCAACCTGTTCGTTTGTTGGTTTAGCCAGGACTTATCAGTCAGTCAACAGTGTTTTCCTCTCATAATAAACCAGCATCAATCGGGCTTATCAGCTAAAAACCAACCAGTGAACAAGCGGCATGAGTGATTCCCTGTCACATGCCTAGCTACGAGGGCTAGCGGAGAGAGGCCCGTTGATTAGTACGAGAGCCGGCGTTGGCTTTGGGCATAAACTAGGGAGTGCCATCCTTATCTCAGACACCTCCCGGCCCTGTTTCCCCATCTCCAACTTGTGGAATCCCGACGCCATTATAACTAATCCTCCCCCTCCTCCAACCGCGCCGTGCGAGCTGAGTGTGACCACCAAACCTAATCTCCTCGGGACACGGGCTACACGCCTCCTCTCCTCCTTTGACGAGCTTAGCGGCCTAGCTAGCTAGCTAATGGGATCCCTGGACGGAGCTGAGCTGCTGGCGTCTACTAGGCATGGTTTAGTTTAATGGCGGAGGGAGATCTCCGACGATCCGCGGCAGCGCCCGGATTGGGCAGCAACTCGGCGCGGTGTCGTGGGCGCCTGGGAGGACGACAGCGACTGCCCGAGGCCGAGCCGGCGCCGCGGCCGTCCGTTTGCTAGCTAGCGCGCGCATGCCGCACGCTAGCTAGCAAACGGAAGGAAGCAAAGCACGCAGCAGCAAGGAACGTACGTACGCCGCCTCGAAGTGCGTACGCGGCGGATTCGCTCGTCGATCTTGGTCCTCGATCGATCGCCTTTGCGTGATCGGCTCCTCCATCTCGATCGAATTCTCTAAAAATTAGAGGACGGGCCGAGGAGGGTGCTAATACCGATGCATGCTGCTCGTCGTTACGCGCGCGCGCAGCTAATTTCGCGCCTGCCTTAACTGACTTGATCGTCAGCTTTCGGACGTGTTGCTACTACCGGCCCTATTAGCTTAACACGTATAGGTCAATGGGTCAAGGTATTCAATGGAGAAAAGAAAAGTCAGGCTGCCCTCCTTTGATTTCCAACCCTAGTTAACTGTCCACTGTTTCTTTCTTCTGTTCATATTCCTGGCCTGCAGAGGTTTCACAATGGTACAGGCCAGAGGGCCCGGTTACTACCATATCACCAGTAAAACGAAACAAAGCACTTGTAATAATAAGTTTTTTTTATATACAAACTTGTAATTTCTAACGATCTTCTTCATTCGTCCATTAAATGCAAGGCACATTATGATCCATCATTTTGTTCAAGTTAGCTACACTACAATTAATGTTTTTATCCATCCAGGTTAACAATTAATGTTTTTTTGGCTAGCTATATACTATACGAGCCCCTCCTCCACTCTCCGAGCAACACGTGTATACCAATGCCAGAACTAGGGCTTGCACCATCATGGCAACAAGTGTAAACTCGCGGCTTTGTTTTAACGGCAGCACTAATGCCACGTTAAACCGGAATCATGGCCCGGCTTTCCCCGAAAGGCGCCAAGTTTTGTGCCGCATTTTAATGAGGGACGACGGGTTTAATTGGATGGCAAGCAAGCTTCAACCCCAAGGCTGCTGCTGCACACTTGGCATGTTCCAGTCCATGGTTTCCCATGGTTTGTTAGGATACTCCTCCTCTTTTCCCATGCACGCTAGCTAGCTATAGCTAAAGCAGCCTTCACCAAACTTAGCTTGTTGCTCCTCCCTAATAAACTAATATAATCCCAACAGTTGCACGGCAAAGCTAGCTTAACCACAAGCCACAGAAGCAAAGGATCGGATGATGGGCTTTGATAGGGTTCTTAGCTAGGGTAGTAGGGGACCTCCGGACCCCGGGGGACCTTGGAACATTCAGACAAATTAAAGGCGAAAGGCATAGAGCATCTCCAAGAGTTTGCTATCTCAACTTGACATTCATATAATTTTGACAAAACAAGAAAAAATAGCCTCCAACAGTTTGACAAAACAACTTGATATCAATAGCAACTTGGCAAATCTTCCCTCCGCGGGCGCAAATATACGCGCGCGTATATGGCTTAGCATCCGGGGCTCTTCGTTTCTTAGCGGGGCTCTTCGTTCGCTTAGCGGGGCTCTTCGTTCGCTTAACGGGTTTTTTTATTTTATCAAGTCAAAAATGCCAAACTCTTGGAGATGGATTGTTTTTTTACTTGGCATATAATTTTGGGAGTTGGCAAATCACAAGATTTGCCAAGTAAAATTTGACAAACTCTTGGAGATGCTCTAACATTAATCGCCACTAAACAACTCGCTAACCTTTGAAGCACATATGCTCCAGCCACACGCTGAAGCTCACACAAGTGGCCATCTGGCATGACGTGGACAGACATCGCTGACCTGGCTCCTCCCGCAAAGCGACACGTGGGAGGCGGGTTCGGGCGACCGCGTCGCCGGAGCGAGGCGCGGACGCCGAGGCGACCTCGAGGAGGGCGATGGTGGGATTCCGAGCTTAAATATGACCAAGTGTACGTTAAGGCTAGCTAGCTTGAGTAGAATAATAGTTTTGCCACTGAGGTTTTGAGGTGGAGGACACGGCCATGGCGAAGCGAAACGTGTCCATCGTGTCGCGATTAGTTTATTATGGTCGGGGCCTGTCTTAATTAGCTGTCCGATTAACCATATTGATCCATCAGTGCTTGAAAGGTGCGATAGCTTTCTTGCGATCACTTGTTTTTATTTGGGGGCTCACTTCTCAAGGGAAAATCTTTATCGTGTGATTTGCTATACAAGGCAAGTATGTGACATAAGGGCTGACGCATCATAACCATGTCAACACAACACTCTCTTTGTGTTTTTGTATGCGTGATAATCAGACTAGTACGTTATATATGATCATCCATGCAGCTAATAGCATACATACATATATCTTTTCAACTTGTGTGTGTGTGTTACTTCTAAAAGTAAGATCAGATGCAAAAGTTCCAGCTAATCTTGGATTAGCAGGAAAAGAAAGCAAGATTAGAAACTTAATATTCCCCATATACTTAATCATATCCTCTCACAGTTTTAATTGACACCCGCTAATTGTTCTTGGAATAAAGAAACTTATGTTAGGTAATCAGACGCAAGGTTCTTTTGTTGGGGAATAAAAGAACAGCCATGAAATGGCAAACTGCTAGAACATTGTAAGCTGCATCGTCTGTACATACACGCCAGATACCGTACATTCAGAAAACAACACAGCAGAAGTTGCTTTACATCTAGCCCAATCAAAGTGCATTCTGCAATACCAATATGATACATGTGAGAAAGCACTCCACACCAGAAAGCTGCACAATCTTATACAATGTATATACAGTATACACCACTTGTTCAGTAGCATCCCAATGCACTTTCAAACTGTCCTGACAATCACAAATAAGAAAAATGACTCAGGTTGACTTCAGTGACTTGCTACACCTCCCTGGTATCTGAATCCTCCGAAGATGGCGAGCTCAGCCTTCTATCAGGCAGTGCTGGCTCTGGTCTCACATCGTTTTCACTGGCCTTGTGCTGGTTGCAAGCCTGAAATCTGAAGCAACATGACAGATGGTCGTTAACGATCCCGGCAACCTGCATGAAAGAGTAGATCGTTGTAGGTCCAACACACTGGAACCCTCGGCGCATCAAGTCCTTGCTTATGGCTTCAGCTTTCGGCGTCTTTGTAGGTACATGGCGAGCATAGCGGAAGCCGTTTGTGATGGGCCTGTGGTTCACAAAGCTCCAGCAGTAGTTGCTGAACGATCCGAATTCCTTAACCACCTACAGGTAAGCATTTCGAAAGTTCAACACATGGAATACTGAATTTATGAAACATATGGTACTACACAAAAGATGTTTGATCAAATCATGGTGAACTGCAAATCATGTATAGAAGAAGCCCATGTATCACATTATCCAGATTAAGGGTACATGATGTGGCCCATGTACGAAACGAGGTCTCCGCCTCTTGGGATTTCTGTTTGCTTATGGACTGGAAATGGCTGTTTTAGTGCTGTGCTAGTCAGCTGATCGCTAAGTTGCAAAGCTGAAAAATGTAAGCTGAGTGTGATCTCACTAGTATTTTTTTATATACATTGGACAGATGCTCAAAATTTCTAATGTTGCCAAATTTCTGATACCGTTTTCCCCTTTGTTGTTAAATGCCAAATAGGTAAAACAGCAAAATATTAGCATTGGGCCTTATCACAAGAACGATAAGAATAATAAACATCGTGTCCTCGTCCATCACAGATAAACTCAACAAAAAGATTCGATGCAAATGCAAATAACTGTAAGAATACAAACTCCTGTACCTTCTGCATTTGCTTAGCATTTGTTACAACTGCGCGAATCTTATGCTCTGACAGCAGCACGATTCCATTAGATCTCAATAGGTTTATCTTCTTCTCCGTGAATTCAGATACCAATGCAAAGTTGAAGCCATCGAAAATCTCCCTGGTACAAAGGCTGAATCCACCAGTGGACATCCTAACACCTCTGCTATGAACAGAGTTTCAGTTTTGGGCAGCATACCTGAATTCCTCCCTCTTGCTCAAAATAGAAGGCCAGGTGAGTTGACCTAAGGCTTGTGAAAGTGTGAGCAGCTCGAATAGCATTCGGTCATCATGAATGGGAACTCCCCATTCTTCATCATGGAATGCGGAATGCGGCATAGAGGGGCTCTGAAGAAATGGAGGTACCATACCATATAACACCAAAAAGCATGATATTGGTGACCTATTCGCTTGAACTTATCAGCACGGCTTATTAGCCATGGTACATTGTTTTTCTCTCACAACAAAACATCATCAGCCGACTTATCAGCCACAGAAACCACCAGCCGAACAGACTAATGGTGAGCCTATACTTTCACAAAACTGAAAATTCAACAAAAGTGCAAAAGATGCGGATAACAACTTTTTCTACAAAATGCACTTCTGTCCTTGGTATTCTAAAAAACCTAAAAATTCAGGTGTTTATTGTTGCGGAATGAATATCTGTACTAAAGTGTAGAGATGCATGTTCACCAGTTTCAGACTGTTCATGGATAACAGTTCTAGAGCTACACCTCGTCTAATAAAATTGCGGTAAAATTCTTGCCATCCTTTCGAAAAAAAGTTCTACAGCTTCAAACTCAGTATATTTAGCACTAATTCACTAACGTTGTAAATGACAAAGGAGAAGTCTCAACTGATTATGAAGACAAACCAACAGAGTTACAAAGGTAGTTGAAATCCAACTGATTATGCTTCAACCACAGAGCAAATGACAAAGGAGAAGTCTCAACTGTAACGCACACGTACTGATCATTTGCAATGTACTAGAGGAACCACAAAGAAAATGCAGTTTTATTTCACTTATTTTAAGGGAAACAAAAAGGAGGAACCAGAAAACTGTGATTAACTCACCTGAGTTTGCAGTGATTCAGGAACACCTCTTCTTCTTCGCATCGGAGCCAACTGGCATCAGAGGAGGCGAGGTCCTGCACCCAAGTGACGGGACGAGCCTTCCATGCTTGCCCCGCTTCTCTTGATCATCCAGTCGTCCCTTCGCCTTCGAATTGGCCAGCGTCTTGGTTCTCTCAGCTAGCTTCGCCCTGGCACTGGCTACCTTGGAGGAAGCGGTGGGTAGGGCCATCCGGATGCGGGGTACCTCCGGCAAGGGGGACTCTGACCTGACGCCCGGCATTTGCAGTTGCAGAGTCAAGATCCTCGAGCTTCGCGGTGTTTGTTCAGTTCGGCAGGGACGACCGGGCGAGCGGCTTATTAACGCTGTTTGAAACGGATGCAGAAAGACGGAGTTACCCCTGACGCGATGTTTTGAAACAGGAGGCTAGGGCAGCCGGGTCGAGCTGGGCGTCGCCGTCGGCTGCGGGTGCAACGGCCTCGGCACCATGGGTGGCGTCGCCACGACGCCTCGTACCGTTACGCACAAGCATTGCCATACGCCGCCCAAGTCTCAACACGTAGTCAGTCTCCGCCGCGCGCATCGTCCCATTTGCAGCCCGGGCTTCCGTTAGTTTGCTTGCGGCAGCCGGCAGAGGCGCAGAGCTCTCGTCGGCAAAGATCTTCTCATGAACATTCGACAAGTACTCGCAGTAGTCCTTGGAGAACCACCTTCCAGATGTAATGTAACAATGCAAGGTACACGGCAAGACGAATGGACACATAATGGAAGATTGTGATATCAGCAACAGAATAGACACTGGATACGGCAAAACTTATGATACCAGCATGTAGAGTAAACCAGCAAACATTGTCTTCAAACCTTAGTTGAGTGCTCATGGAAATGGAAATCTCTGTTCTACTTTACAGGAACGTTCCGAATTGTAGTAGCTGGAAAGTAACCAGGACGCAGATGAGTCCAACGAATCTAGTTGTGTACAAATTCTTTCATCTCTGTGACTGCCTGTTAGCATTTGATCTGAGTTTTCCAGAAGCACAGTAAACATTGCAATGCAGGGCCTGCACAGTGTAACTAAGAAATAATATGAGATGTCAGCCCCTCAGGTCAGCCTAGATAGGATTCGCCAAACCTCCAGCCTCTGGCAAAAAATTGGACTTGATATCAACCAAGCACTGCTGGGAAGCGAGAGGTCACACACTAGGTCAGCACTGGCAGACGGCCCCACTCATCTGGAGATGGGGTGTTCTTCACCACCTGAAGAAAGACATGTCGTGATATTACAAGTCAATAATACAGCAGTCATGAAGTGACTGGATAATAGATGCGGGAAGTAACTGCTTACCAAGAAACACGAGGTACAATGCTATTGCAAAACCACTTGCCATAGGTGACAGTTGCATCAACGATTCATGTGTTCATATCATGCTCTTGGCAATCAAATTATTTCTCCGAGAAGTACATGGTATCCTGAAAATGAAGCGGCTCGTTTCCCCAAGAGGTCCATCTGGGAAACAACTCTCTGGCAAAAAGCTCGATGCATCTTGAGGGTTTAGGACCTGGAATATATTCTGAAAGTAATTCTTTTACAGATTAAGGGTCAACTAATTGAACATCTGTTATATCCAGCTAAAAAGGCCATATTGCATTACTGTCTATTCCAAGTTATAAAGGCAAGGGACACTTGAAGGATACTCTCAAGGGGAGGTTTCCTTGAGTGAGCACCTGGGACACTCATGATTACTTGGCTTCCTTCTAAAAACTTGAAGTTAGACCCTTGCTTAGCATTTGTGTTCTACATAAACAAATCCGGAGAACATAATCAATGAATTTAAGAATACAACTGCAGAACTAAAGTCACAGTCAAGATTTGGTACAAATAAGCTGGTGGGATAAACTTACAACATTTATGTAGCCAAGGAGGAGGCACTCATAAGGCCTGTGATGGAACAAGTCTAAATCACCAATTAGAGAACCATCAGGTTTCACCTATAATTGGCAAAGATATTAGAACCAAAATGCAGAAAAATAGTAATGTCGCTATAAAATTAACAAATATATCAATGAAAAATAATGTTGCAGCAGGTGCCAAATGAGTATCAGATGTAAACCTTAAGCCAATAAAACACGGTGGGATCTTTCACTCCCCAAGAAGGAAGCAGTTTTTTCTCAACAAATGCCCGCAGTTTCTCCCTATTTGTAATCCACAAAACAAGAAGCGCTCCGTCTGGATGGGCAAGTTCTTGCACTGGAAGATACAACAAATATCTGTTGGGAAGTGTAGGATACCTGTGGCATAAACATTTAAATGAACGATTTATTACTCTATAAGATTTCTAACTAACCAACTATAAGTTGAAAATTACAATTCAAAAGATGATGGACGGCGATGAACGTGAACACAGTCTAACCATAAATGGTTTAGTTTTGTAGACACAGCCAACTCATGCTTTACTATAAGTTCATAGAACAAAATGATACAGCCTAGACGCTCTATGGTCAGCTAAGGGTAATAATGATATCTGCACTACATTGGACACCATACAAGAAATTTGCACAGTGGCAAAAAGAATGGGCTTCAAGAACTGGAGCGCATATTGGAAAGTTATGGTAACATGCAAGCATCACATTCTGACTTGAACGTCAGCTAAAGAGCGTATGTAAAAATGTAGTTAAAACCAAGAGCATGTACAGTAAGCAGAGTGCAAAACCAGCCTCTGTGATGTGGACCAAGGCTTAGTCATTAGCAGGTGCGGAGCCAAAGTACTAGTAATGCGGTCACCTTACAGCACGCATGTCTATCATAGCTATGTTAGTGACATCAATGGTTTCTAACTCTAGATCCACCCCTGGTCATTAGGCTCACCGAGTGCTCTAGGCACTCTAGCTTTTATTTACTTTACAGAGAAAAAATACGAAAATTACTGTTAAATACTTGTTCACTTCATATTCATAGATAAATCACATCCAAAAAACGGTAAGCTTACGCTTCTTTCTGACGAACACATCCATTCTCCCAAGGTGGGTCAATAACTATAAGATTATACCCTTGATTTGGACTACCTAGAGGAAAAAGGGTAACACCCAATGAATTAGGGAATCAAGTAAATGTGACAACACAATTATCACAAGCATAGAAATATGTGAGCATATTTAGCCTTCACTGGTGCCACATTGTCACTTACAAGGAATGAGATCTCTAACCTGTTTGAAGTCAGTCTTTATGTCAATGGATGACCCAAAGCATGAAAAGGCATTTCAAAATTAAGGACAGATCATTCAGTTAGCTGAAACTATATGTAACAAAGAAAAAGGGTATTTATGTACCATCAAGAAGCAACTTCCTCTTGGTAAAATATAATGCCTATTCTGGAATTCTCCTTCTGCCTCGTCGATCCCTTCAACACTGATTATGCTATTAAAGAGAGGAAATGATGTCTTTTGGGCATGAAAGGAACCTAAGATATTAGAATCAATAAACACTGCTTCAGCATTGCATCATGTACCTTCAAATATGGTAAAAAAGAATAAAACCATCTGTTTCATTGCTTTACCTTCCTCATTGCCCTGAACATGGGGTTTCCGGAAGCAAAGAGTGATCTCATAGAAAGGTGCTCGCCATGAGGTCCCAAGCTCAACGAAATTATTCTCAGAACCACTTCCTGCATCAAGTGTGTGCTCGTTGCCTTTAATTGTCTTGGAAATGTACTCCAGTAGATGTTTAGCCTTAATGAGTGATTCATGTGCTTTCAACAGTAAAGGCCTCGCTTCCTAGCAGAAGTTAATCACAACATCAAGTTCAAGCACTAAACACTACTCACTACGTTTGCAAAACAAATTCCAGAGTTCTTCTCCACAACCTTAAACAAATATTATGTTTTCAATTGCCACTAGCTAAAATTCTAAATCCCCTGGCAAGTTGTCAAAGCGAAGCCATGATCCAAGTAAGAACTCAGTTACAGCAAGACTATCAGTTTGAGCCAAATTATATGTTACCATCTAGTCAATTTAGCATTACTTTGCCACAGTAAAGCAGTGTAACACATCACCTGGTGCCGGGCTTCAGCGATTTGCTCCATGGGATTGAGCTCCCTGGACTTCGGCTTCTGATTACGCTTGCGCTTCCTCCGTTTCTCGGGCCGCTCGATCTCTGGCTCGCCTTCCTGATGCTGGGGGCTGAAGCTTCGGGAGTAGTACGCAGAAGGGACGATGTGGAAGCGCTGGTAGCACGCGTTGAGGAGGCGGACCGGGTCGAGGAAAGTGGCTCCGGTTCTGCTGCAGGTGCCATCGAGGCGGTAGACGCCGGTGGCCTCAAACGACCGCACCTCGTCGCAGACTTCCATCTGCGGCGGCAGCAGCAAGGGTTTGGGAGAATCTGAACTCTGAACCGTTGGATCTCCTTCCTTCGAGCCGGCGCAGAGGGCTGAGCGTCGCCGCCACCGCCGACGCCCGAGTTTGCGGGCTGCCTCCAGCTCTCCCTCCAGCTCAGGTAAGCGCCGCCGCCGAACAGCCCCGGGCGGGAGCGAGCGCGCGGGCGTGGAGGTCAGTCGGAGGCACGCGCCGTCAGTTGGGTTCAACTATCCTGGTCCTCACCAGTCAGATACTCAACGAGCAAAACGTGAATTGGCACAGTGGTCCGCGAAAAAAAATTTCTGTGCATCCGAGGTGTAAAAGGACCCGTGTGCAGCGCCGCAATCCGAAGAAGCGAAGCAACCAACCCCCGAAATCTCCGACGCCATCGCCACTGCGCCATGCCCATCTCGCTCCTCCTATCGCCGTTTTCCCTACCCTCGCCGCCGCAGCCCCTCCTCCGCAATGGAGCGCCATGGCGGTGCCCGACGCTACTCCGTGCCGCCCTACGGCTAACGCCTCCGCATCCGCCTCCGCTTCACCTGGGGCTCGCCGCGGCCCGTGGCGATGGTGGGAGGCGGTTCGTCGGGACGCTGGGCTCGAAGAGAGCGCGAGCGGCTGGTGCGGTTAGGATTTCTGCGATGTCCGGAGACGGTGGTGGTGGTGCTGGTGGTACGGGGATCGCGGCGGCAGCGGCCGCCACTGTGGTCTTTGCTGTGATGAACCGGGTGCTCTACAAGCTGGCGCTTGTGCCAATGAAGAATTACCCCTTCTTCCTCGCCCAGTTCGCCACATTTGGGTAATCTTGATAGTTGATACTTTTAATGAAACCTCAACGTCTGTCGTGTATTGAGCATTTTTTGTGCTATACAGAGTACTATAGGAACTGTGTGTAATTGTAATCTTCTGGATTGATTAAATTTATTAGACGTACGTTGCTGGTTTTCACTAGTCACAATTAAGTTCCTGGGGCTTATGAAGTGCAATGCTTCCATACAATTCAGTATCAGTAGAGTCCTTGTGTATTTCCTTTGCACAAACTGCTTTCTACTAGCACTGAACTTCTCACTTCATATTATTTGCAGGTATGTCCTAGTGTATTTCTCTTGTGTATTTCCTTTGCACAAACTGCTTTTTACTAGCACTGAACTACTCACTTCATATTATTTGCAGGTATGTCCTAGTGTATTTCTCAATTCTCTTCATAAGATTTCGTGCTGGGATTGTCACTAGAGAAATGTTAGCACTTCCAAAGTCACAGTTCATGCTAATTGGTTTACTGGAAGCGCTAGGTGCTGCTTCAGGCATGGCTGCTGCTGGTAGTCAATGATGCTCCTACTTCACCGTTAACAACTCATTGTTTAAGTTTGTGCATTGTAGCAGGTTCAGTAGTTGTGGTATGATTCCTTCAGACCATAACTGAATGAAATTTGTTTCTATATTTGTCTCTCCTCGCAGCTATGTTGCCCGGGCCATCTATTCCAGTGTTGTCACAGGTAATATGTCTACATATACCACTGGGTCACTTCTGATTACTCCATACGTAAAGCTTTGATTGTGGGAGGCATGAATCATGTATTGCTTACAACTTTACATATAACCCTGTAAATGGTTGTCAAATGGGTGCTGTTTTCGCAATTTCTGTTTTTTTTTACTTACCATTTCTCTTTAGATTGTTTTTTTTTCCCATTCTAAGTGCTTACATTGGATCAACACTTAGATAATTCTTGTAGCTAGGATGGTGGGCTAAGTGTTTCCACATGCTCGCTTGTGTATTCTTTTCACTGATCTATTAAATAATCATCATTATTATATAACATTTGTATAAGTTACAATTAACTTAATTTTTCCATTTTATCTTTGCTAGTGACATACAATGTTTCTAGGATGTATTTATTTTTCTGTATAGATCCGCTGGATTCATCCACATTCATGAGTACTTTTCATGTAATCTTCCTATTAATTGTCTAACATGCTTGTTATCTTTGTGTAGTCTTTTCTGGTTTGGCAGCTTATCTTATCTGTCCTCATCTTGGGAAGGAAATATAGAGCAAATCAGATCCTTGGCTGCTTGCTTGTTACAACTGGAGTAATTCTAGCAGTGGCTGGGTGTGTGTTGGAATAGTTGTCCTTATTTTGCTTACTCTTCTATTGCACTTCCATAACGAGCACTAAATAATAATGAGTGGTTATCTATTATATTGTACACCATGTTTTTTTTTTCCAAATCTGGCATGCTCATGTAAAGATCATGCTGACTGTTATCAAAGCTCCTGGTTCATTCTAGATACCACTGATTGCATTTTAGGATTGGCAGGCAATATAAGAGATTTTGCATATGCCATTTCAGTTTGTGATGTAGCTGAGAACTTGGCTTTATTAATCTGGCTAATCCTAGAACAATGGCAGAGGTAGAGTTTGGTCGCCCTCCCAACGAGGCTCTGATCATAAAAACTCTACCTCTGTTTATCCCTCTTTGCTTAGAGGGCCCTTAGTTATAGCACCTAATGTCCGACTCTCACCTAACAGAGTCAATAACCAAACGCATGCAGATCCTAAACCCAAACACATGCAGATCCTAAACCAAGCGCATGTAGATCTATCGTTTAGCCAAAGTCCCCTAAACAGATAACTATGGATATTTTTAGCCACTAACAGTTGCTGACGCCTTCGTCTTCTTTGCTGTATTGCTTCCCAATGAAAGCGTCCACAACACTTCCACCCTCCTGTCATCGAGCTGTAGGCCTGCTCAGAACTGGGGCTGAGCAATACTGAAGGTGATGAAGCACACTTGAGCAGTCAGCTGCTGGAAGAAGACAATCATGGCGACGACGGAAGATGAGGTCTGAAATTGCGCCACTGGAGTCAGTTCAGCCAGCGGGGGTGCTGGCGCTGGTGTCATTGGTAGTGCCATGGTGATCGCAGGGGAAGGAGATGCCACTGCCGTGAGGATGTGTTCGACAAAGGCAGCCAATACTGATGGCAGGCATGTCCACAGCTGACAAACATGGCAGCAATGTCGGATACGGTGGCAGATCTGGTAGCTGCAAAGACGGCGCTGATGCCGTTGGTGTTGCCACAATTGACGGAGTTGCTGTTGTCAAGGCTGCTGATGTAGAAGACAGTGGTGGTGTGGTGCCCAAGACTGAGGAGAACACCCGCTTCGGTGGAGCAGACAACGAGGCCAGAGAGTTTGCTAGAGATGGCGTGCATGTCGGTGGTTCGTGAAGACGGCCACAACCACGGAGACGCCATCGGCTTGGATGTGAGCTTGGGAGCCCCTGGATGCAGCGACATCGCGGAGAACGCGTACATTCACGGTGGTGAGTAGAGGGGTCTGGAGGCCTGTGAATTCTGCTAACCCTGTCCGACGGCTTTAGTCCTGCCGGTGCGGATGGCCTCACTACTGATGGTGTTGTGAGGGCTCCAAGTGTCACAGGCCTTGCCGCTGAAGTGACCAGGACCAAGCAGGACGCCCAGCGTTGCGAGGGCCCTAGTGTTGCAGGCCTTGGTGCTGAAGTGGCCAGGACCAAGCAGGACGCCCGCATCGGTGGAGCGGACATCAACGCTGGACATGCAATCGCCTGGTGCTTATCCTTCACCATGGCTGGCGCAAATGTGACCGGAGGAGTAATCACAGGTGGGGATGGCGCTGATGGTGGAGGCGGTGGGGAAGTTGTCGGTGTAGCCGCAATTGTCGGTGGAGATGAAGCTGTTGGCGTTGGCGATACTGCCGGCGGGGAAGATGTGGCTGCTGGTATAGCAGACTGGGCGTCGCTGGTGGGGAAGAAGGCGGTGATGCCGTTGTCCCAGGGACAGGGATGGGGATGGGGACATCTGGATTGGAGGGGCTGGTGGTGACGAGTCCCGAGCCTTCATCCGGTCGCTAAGCTGAAGGAGCATCTCGTAGATCCGATCGATCCCTGCAGAGATGCGATCATACCTCGCAGAGATGCCCTCAGCGATGGTGAGGAGATCGCCCATGGCTGGGAATTGTGGATGAGCAAATGTGATCTGAGGGTGGGAATTTGCGGCGGCGCTATAGTACCGTGGGTACTGTAGACGCATGGGGTGGCAGCAACGGAAACAGATACGGTCGCAAGATCAAAGGTTCTGGATACGAATTGATGTGGCTGAGAACTTGGCTTTATTAATCTGGCTAATCCTAGAACAATGGCAGCAGTAGAGCTTGATCGTCCTCCCTAGGAGGCTCTGATCATAAAAACTCTACCTCTGCTTATCCCTCTTTGCTTAGCCGGCCCTTAGCTATAGCACCTAATGGCCGACTCTCACCTATAACAGAGTCAATAACCAAATGCATGCAGATCCTAAACCCAAACACATGCAGATCCTAAACCAAGCTCATGCAGATCTATGGTTTAGCCAAAGTCCCCTAAACAGATAACTATGGCTATTTTTAGCCACTAACAGTTGCTGACGCCTTCGTCTTCTTTGCTGTATTGCTTCCCAATGAAAGCGTCCACTACAGTTTGACTAAATAATCACAGTGACACTACATTTCGTTCATAGAATTACTGGTCTAAATGTTGACCCGTAGATTCAAATTGAACAGATTTCTTGTCTATTCCTAGTTTTCAGTGGCATAACTCTGAGAATAAACTTCTTGTTCCCACAAGATAAAATATATAAATGCTGAACCAAATATCTTGGAAGAGTATAAATTTAGAAACATATTATGGTGGATCATTTGTACAGGTTACCATTATGGCGCATGTATTATGCTCATACCTTGATTAGATTGAGTTTTTCTTAAGTCATCCTCTTTTCTTGATGAATGCAGTGGAGCCAGTGATGGTCCGATTCTCTCTGAAGTCAAATTCTTTTGGCCAGCAGTAATGATGACTTCAGCTGCATTTCAAGCTGCTGCTTCCATTATCAAGGTTGAGTGTTCATAGTAGTGTTGTGGTGGGATTTTCATGCTAATCCAGCTATATAGTTTTTTTGGCACTATTACAGGAGTTTGCTTTCATTGATGGTGCAAAACGCCTTGAGGTTCGTTTAAACCTCAGTTTTTTTTCATTGATTTTCTGGTATTGAAAGCATGAATTATAACTTGGTTATTTTTTTGTTTACATAGGGAAAGCGGCCTGATATATTTGTAGTCAACTCTTTTGGTTCAGGTTTCCAGGTAAGATAATAGAGATCCACTTTTTTCGATAACTGTAGGTTCGTAGTTAATACTGAAAATAGGAATGCCAGTACTATGACTTTCTTGGTACTCTATGATTCTTTGGAAATTTCTGGTGATTCTTGTACCATTTTGGCTTATGAATCATTTGGTTTGTCTTTCTTTTGCTCACTGAAAATCTTTGTTGTTGCACCATACAGGCTCTTTTCATTTTCCTACTCCTTCCATTTCTCTCTAACTTGAAAGGGATTCCTTTTGCTCAACTCCCTGCATACCTAAACCGTGGTGCTGCATGCTTTCTGAATGTTGGAGGGAATCTGAAGGGTGAGTATTGTTTCTCATAGTACATTCAGGTGGTTAATAAATGGAGCATTATCTCATATTATGTAATTTCAAATATTTGGTTGGTTGGAGAAAAAAAAGGTTTTCCTGAAATCTTCCACAAGTGAATATTATCCATCTCATCTTTTTTGTTTTGGTACAATGAGTGTTATTATTCAGGTATGCATGGCATAAATGTATAACACTTTGCTAGCTATGTCAAACTCAAAACGCTTGAGGCCTGCAATCTATAATCTATGATGCAAGATCATTTGCTAATGGTTTAGATTTTCAGATTGCCATGGAGCTCCTCTGCTACCACTTCTCTACATAACTCTGAACATGGCCTTCAACATTTCTGTCCTTAATCTTGTGAAGATGTCTACAGCAGTGGTTGCTTCACTAACATCAACTTTAGCAGGTTATGCAGTTTGTCTTCTCTCTTCATATTTTAATGTTTAAGTAGAGTACTTGTGCAAGGCAATCAGGCAAGGGCATATGGAGATTTATTTTTTTTTAAAGTTGAGGTGCCATGCAAATCTTTTGTGCAGTTGGCATACACTATAACTCGATGTTGACTCACGACCAAAACTTTTAAGGAAACATGCCCTTTTTAAGCTGACTTCTGTTTGGTTTGTTGTACATTTTTTTTAACACTATGCTTCCCTGCAGTACCTCTTTCCATCTATATCCTGTCGCTGCCTCTGCCATATCTACCCGAAGGAACAAATTTGAGCACATGTTTTTTGATTGGTGTTGCTACCTTAGTGCTCGGACTGCTTCTGTACAATCTTCCTCAAAAATCAGCCAATCAAGTAAAGAAAGATTAATCTAAATCTATATCAGATATAAGGATGACAGGAAGCTATTGGTGCTCCACTAGGAAAAAGGAGCTGCATTTTGTTGACAGTGGCTGCACAATTTGGCACAGAACTTATGAAGAGCAGTGTTCTTCTGCTACAAACATTTGTTGTGCAAACATTGGAGGCACCAGCTGACTTAAAAGCTTTGAAACAGCAAGTTCTCGTTTCATCTGTTAACAAAATCCCGATGGATTATGCAGCTATCTGTTAACTCCACTTGAGCGAATGTAACTGCCAACTAGTTTCAGACGAGTAAGGGCTTCACAAATTCATTGGTCGTATAATTGTTGTCACTATTTTTTTTTTGTTAATTCAAGACTAACATGCCTAACTTCATAGGATTTATTATGTAAATATAAGTATACGTTCTTCGTCATTATAAATCACGATTATATGGCCAACCATTTCGGGTGAATGCTAGATGCATGGACCATTATTTATTTCTCCTTTATGGCTCATCGTTTCATTGAGTGGACAACATTCTAGCCAGTTGACTTTGTCCTCGTAAGAAGAAAGGACTTGGCATGTTTGAAAAACACTGTGTGTTGTTTCTCAACATTCGACTTTAGGTTGTTGTGAGAGAAAAACAAAGTCAAAGAGGAGTGGTGGCGGCTGAAGCTAGGCTAAATCTCCAGAGAAGAACCAGCCGGCTGGTTCGCTAGAACCAGACCAGCGAACAAGGCCTATATTAACCTTTTTGATTTTTTTACCCTAGGGCCTAGGGTCTCTCTCCAGACGGCGCCGCCGACGGGAGTCCACCACAAAACCGCAAATCTCACTGGATTGATGCTGAAACTCCTTGTTTTAGCAGACCCTGTGCGGCTCTCTTCCAGGTTATTACTTCTCCCCACCCTGTGCACAAGTTGCATGGCGGGTACTTAGGGAGTTTCGGCTAGAGAAGACAGAGAAGATGACCGACGAGATGAGTTTGAGGATCGGCTGCAGGTGCTCGCTTTGGTGGGGGAAGAAGATGAGGATTTAGATTTCTCGGAGGAGATTGACGGCTTGATCAAGGAAATACGCCGGCTGGTGCTGTTTAGGGTTTATACCACAAAACCCTTCAGGCATGCAGCCTTGTTAAACACCATGCGCAATACGTGGTCTGCAGCAAAGGAGGTTACTTTCAAGGTGTTGGGAGAGAACCTATTTCTTGTCCAACTCCAGTGCGTGGGGGTTGTACTAGGATCATGGAGGGAGGGCCTTAGCCTTAGCTATTCCGTGGAGCACCGGTGGTCCTAGAGGAATATGATGACTTCTCAAATTTGAAGGACTATAATTCTATAAACTCAATAAAATCACAGTTTGGGCTTGCATCCAGGGCATCCGGGAGGGGTTGATGAAGAAGAAAGAACTGGTGGAGAAGGTGGCGAGGAAGGTCGGCGGGCCACCAATTACGGTGATTGTGGATGAAGGGCGCATAAACCCGGCCTCTTATCTTAGGGTCTGTGTTTTCTTCGATTTTGAGAAACCCTAGTGAGGGTGGTTCCTATCACGATTAAAGAAAGCAAAAGATATGTGGTGCAATATGAGAAGCTCTCTATGTTTTGCTTTGTTTGTGGTCTTATGGGCCATGAAATGATAGAATGTGGTGATGGAGTGCATGATGGCAATAAATGTCGGTGGGGTGATTGGCTTCAGGTGAAGTTTGGGGGCAATAATTTGAGAAGAGGTGCTGGTCGAGGGAGTGGCCCTAGAGGAGGCTTTGGGAATCGTGGAAGGGGAAGAGGTAGAGGTACATGCCCAAATGCTAATGAAGGAGATGACTTGGATATCTATGAAGAACAGAATAATGATCTCCTGTTGCTGGGAGCTTCAAATACAGTGGAGGTTGAAAATAACTCGAAAAAAGTTCAGGAGAGGAAAAGACAAACAAATGAGGAGGTGAATGAAGGGGTGGCAAAGTAACTTTCACTAACAGCGTCCTATTCAAACCGTAGATCAGTTCAGCATTTTCCTCCCTGCTTCAGTCTCGAAGTGAATAAGAAAAGACAAAACAATCTAGCAGTGGCAGATGCTTATCCCTTCCAGCACCAAGCACCAAGGCGATTCTCCCGCAAGATGTCGCAATCATCATAATTCCTTGTAGGGGCGTTTTGGTACTTTAGCTTTAGCCTTGGTTTTGGTGAGATGTTCTTGAACGTCATCTATGGTGGGATAGAGAGAGTAATTATTAGTTATTTTGGCATAACATTACGATTCTACAGCCATATTTAGTAAAGCCTTGTTTGGTTTGATAAAGATTTGAGGAGGATTGAAGGCGATTTAATCCCTTGCAAATTAAAATCCCTCTCATCTCTTTTGGGAGGGGATTAACCGAGCAAACTTTGATGAGGATTGTTTCTACTCGCGTCTTTGTCGAGCGGGTTAAACTGCAAGCACTCTCGCACACGAGAAACTGTAGAGTAGGAGTACACTGTTACGTAAAAATTTGAATATAGGAGAACTTCAAGACTTGCTTTGACGAGCGTTGTGCGCTAACAAACAAGATGATGGCCGTGAGATATGATGGAACAGACGCCGCGCATGAACCAGGAGGGAGACGTGTGCTCGCGCGGGAAGGGAAAAAAATCACGTGGGTTATAAAAATAAAAATTAATGTTGAATCATATCATATATGATATAATAACGACACTAATTAAAGCCCCCGGCGAGGATCGAACTCGCGACCTTTCGCTTACGAAGCGAACGCACTACCACTATGCTACGGAGGCCAATGTGGCTGCTTATGGCAGAGAAGATTACTTATAAGTATCTCACATGAAATGGCCTAAAAATAATGAACATGGGCACCCTTTCATTTTTTTCTCTTCTCTCCCCACCCCTATCCATACACACACCTCCTCCACCACAAATACTACTGGCGCCGCCTCCTTGTATTGCCCTGCTCCGCTCCACCGTTGCCCGGCCTCCGCCCCTCCCCATCTCATGCTGTCACGTTGGCTCTCCTGTACCGTGAGTTGAGCCCACACAAGCAAGAGGGAGCCGAGTGAATCTCCTTTTTCAAGCTCTTTCTCCTTTTTCGCACTCCTCTTGGTACATTTTTTGAGCTCCATCTACGAAGCAATTTAAAGAGAATAGAGCGTGTGGCCAAGACGGGCGCACACGGTGTCCACGGTAGCAAAATTATTTTCACTCCTCGGATTCCTGATGAACGGTGCTCCTGTCTCCTCCCGAGCACTCCGCAGCCAAATATATACTGGGTCCAAACCCTAGCTCTCTCTCGTGTCCGCATCCGTGCCTCCTCCCTCTCCCTCCTTTCTCGCGGTGGCGGCATGGCTTCCAGGCGAGGCTGCGGGCACCTCGCCCAAATGAGGCTCTCTCTCTCGCGTTAGCATCCGCGCCTCCTCCCTCTCCCTCCTTTCCCCTGGTGGCGGCACGGCTTCAGGCGAGGCCGACACGGCGCCCGACGAGGCCGCCCTTAGGCGCGGCCAAGAACAACTGTGTGGCGGCGCCCAGCGTGGCGGCCACACCACAAGAAGCATGCCCCCATGGCCAGGACGCAGAGCCTAGGCGAAAGCACGCCCGGCTCCTCCCGATCCCTCCTTCCTCGAGCTCCGGGCGTGGTGTAAGGCGAGGCGCTCCCACAAGGCATGTGGTGGCGGCAGCCCCCAAAGACAGTTTCTTCTTCCTCCTCTAGTGATTTTGGGCGGATATTCATGGATCTGGTGCTTTTGCTTTGAGATTTCTTGATTCCGAATCTGGGTGTATGCTGACCACAGCTGACCCAATGAGGAAGGCCCTCTCGGCGGCCTGCCTCTCTGGTCGGCTGGCCCCGGTCTTGGGTGGCTTCTGAAAGCGGCCGCTGGAAGACCCAACAACCATCCGTCCGGGTCCATTGGGATTCATCCTTAACACATAGCAAGGACCCAAGCTTTACAAGCGCACAACCTGTGATTATTTGATTCTTGTTAATTTTTTTGTGAATCTCAAGCCGAGTCTAATTATTGCTTTGTGTTACGTACTAGGCCTGCAATGTGACTTAGCTCCTTGAGGGTTTAGGGTTTCCCGAGTAATTGCATTTTGATGTTGCTTTTCTTTATTAATTTTGTCAAGGTGTCCATATAGAATTGTAGAGTAATTAAAAAGGTCTTTTGCCAGTATGCATCCTCTGTATATGATCTTTCAACTTTTGCTATGATCCATTATTTATTTTGCTTCTAGGTTTCTAGCTCAAAGTTAACATTTCCTGAATTATGAAGCATTTGAAATGCCATCGAGAGTTAATGTTCGAAAAGGCGACTTTTAATCATGCTAATAAAGTGTTCAAGAAAAAGCTGTGAATAGTTGGATAAAAATGCTAAATTTATTTTGTTGTTAAATTCATGCTAGCTGTGTCATGTTACACCCCTAGACTACCATTTTACAAATGAAAATATTTCAATATTCCATTATACAAATATGATGTAATTGAACTTGCATATTATTACAGGATGCTTGGCTTTGTAATGGTTTTTGGACAATAATCATGTCTCTATAAATGAATAGATGAGATGTTGATCTCACCTATGTTGCTTGTACCAAAAGTTGGTTTGAGTGCACTGTGATATTAATCCAATCCAAGCAAGTTTGGTGATTCTGATCTTTGATTCAGGTGTGTCGCTAGGCAGGTTGGCGAATGGCTAGGTGAGGTTGTGTCATAGTCATGGAGGTCGTAGGCGGTGGCGGGACATTGGCTATCAATTAAAGTTTACATGGATGTTGCAGGCTGAGGCATAGAAAACCCTGACTTGAAGCTTCATCAAATCCATACAGAAGCAATCAAGTTTAGTTCTCTACCTCTATTTATCTCAATCTAACCAAACACAATATCACAGGTGATTCATTTAGGAAAGAAAATACTTTTGAAGTCATCTATATTTTGCTATGGAAATAAGATCACCGGGATGCTTTTGGACATGTAGTATTACATCGCCTAGCATGGTAGCATTGGTATTTCAAATCAGGAAAAAGTTACTCTTTACAACCTGCATTTATGTCTAGGCAAATGGCATGACAAGCCGCTGATTTTGCAACCTTCAGGGGCAGTAGTAGCTGACTAGCTAGCAGCGAGAGGCGAAGCGGCCCCGCACTGGAGCGTTCAAGTAACAACAATTGTACTTGTCTACTTGAGCATGGCTTGCTAGCAAGGTAATCATTACATGGAGCCACCTCAAAATCGGTATTTTGATTTACTATCTTTAATTTCTGAACTATATCTTTGTATTGGCTTCTTTGATTCCTATTGTATGGCTATCACGAGTGATTATAACTTTTTGTTTGGTATATGACTTAGCTTTTAGCTAATATATGAACTCTAGCACCGGGTAAATGTATAGCTTTTTCAAGAATTTTGATTGCTACAATGCTATGTTGTTGCACCAATTTTAATTTTAATTATGTGTAAAGTAGCAATTGTCTACAAAACAGAGACTAAAATCTATGAAAATAGTGCGTGCTAAATGCTATTCATAACCATGAGAAAACATCTCCAACCCAAATATATGGATAATAGATGTCTTTATACTTGATGCAAAGATAGATATTTATATTTCTTTATTCCATTGCAAGAAAGCTTATAGTTTTGTAATTAGTGCAGGAGATAGTTATTAACTGCCATTTTATGTAGGAAAGGTCTTCCTGAAGCAGTCCTGAAAGTGAGCTGCATGCAAGCTCTGGGCCAAGTATGTGTTCCTCTCTGTCTCTTTGCCAATATGATGCCAAGGCAGGAATGGATGGATTCTTTTTTTTGGGATGTAAAATCATATATAAGTTTGGTTTTGCCTTCCAGTATGAAACTGAATTTGATATTGGTATTTGTGATTTATGTTGCCTGGTATTTGGGAAGGCCTAGAATTGAAACACAAATGATGTTCCTGGCAGTCCTTTTTTGTTGTCAACTACAGTCCAGTCGTCTGGTGATTATCACAAAAGAAGCAAATGGGTACTTGGGTAGCCGGTCTATAAAAGAACTTTCTGAATATATGATGAACTATGTAATTTTTGGCTTTGGATAATCAGTATATGCACATAAAAGAGTGCACATCCTTATATTAATTTTAAAACAATGGCGAGATTGAACTTGATAGTGGCTACTTAATGAATCATGGTTCAGAGTCATCATCATTTGAACGGGAAAAATGGAGGCGTCTTTTAACGAGATCGTGTGACCGATTTTATGCAGTAGTAAAAGATGAAAATAGTTTGTCCCAAGTTGATTCTCTACTTGCAGAGGCCTTTCTCTAGGCGATGTATCATCAAAAAACCTGTCTCAGACTGTATGTATGACCGGGAGTCACCAAAATTATCTAGAATTTTATCAATCAATATTTTCTTCAAAAAGATGCAGGAAAAATTGTGTACCATGTCATTTATCCCTTTCTTTCCTAAATCTATGCCTGTACCAAAGGCTCCAACAACATCAAATTATGTTAAAATGCTACTTGGTGTCAACCATTGCATTGCCTTCACAACAAGTCAAGTCATGTGGGCTGTTTTTTTTACGCATGGGTATATATATTTTATAGCTTCTCATTAATAAGCTCAAGTAGGTACTCCCATTTAGTTGACAGACCATGTAACACTTGGGTTGAGAATGCTCATTGTGTGAGGCGTGCTCTACTCGCCTTTGCTCATGCATATGTCAACATGTAGAAGAATTATATTGTCTCTTACATAGAGTGGTTCAAACCTCTATATTACTTATATGTCATTGTTGATGTACTATTTACAGTCATAGTTTGGAGGTCGAACAATGCAACAATGAAAAACATGTTGCGAGCACGACTTACCGCACGCTTCCACTTGGATATTACAAAACTATTTTCATTAAGGTTGATCGGGAGAAGCTCATGGGCGTAAGCTACTTAGCTAACCCATTGCTCCTATAACATGTGCTAAGTATTGTGATTTATCTATCTCGTAATATG